TGCAGACCTGTCCTGTGAGAGGTGGGAGTTAATTGGGATGGGAGGAGAATCCCAGGAAGACTTTAGAAACTTTTGATTTAACCCTTCAGGAAGGAGCGAGACCAGCCGCTCTGTTCACCTGCTTGGCAGAAATGCAGGAATCGGAAGGGCAGAACAGAGAGAAGCTTCAAAATGACCAAATGGGAGCTGAATGCGGGGGCTTAAGTAAGGTCATTGACCATTGTAAGGCCCAATATTAGGGGTTAAAATGAGATTCATGAGGGCTGTTTGTTTCCAAGCCTGGAAGGGCTGCCCCGCTGTCCCTTAGAGGACACAGTGGCCCAGGAGCAGGTGTGGAAGAGGTTTGCCTGTGCCTGAAGCCATGCCTGATAGCACAGGGTTAGCATCTGTCTTGCATTCAGCTATAACATCTGCTAAGGAACGGTCAACCTGGACACTTCCAACTACAGCAACATCCTGAAACTTTACCCTTGTCCTCGAGTGTCTGCAGGTTGGTGGGAAGGGGGAAAATACTTTTGGCAAGCCATCAGAAAGGTCACTGTCCTTTAATCTGGAGCTGTGACTTCACCAGCTTTTTTTTTTTTTTTCAATTCGTGAGACAGGACATGTAGGGATTACCGGTGCTATACATAGATTGCTCTTAGCTGTGTCCTCTTCTGCTGTGTCAACCTCAGGGCTGGGGATCCTGCATGCTGCTTGTCCATCATTGTTTGCCCTCTGCAGAGAGTTTCTCTGCCAGTGCTTGGTGGACAGTGGCAGGACCAGAAGAGGACAACTCTGAAGCTGGAAGCACTCAGAAGTTGGATTTCCCCAGTGGGAAATCCATCAGAAAGGATGCATGTGTGGGCTGGCTGCTGCTTCCCAGGGTGGGAGTCAAAATGCAACTCTGAACGTAATTTGTTGGGTTTTTATCTGAACACAAGATTTCTTGTGGGCTTTTTTGTAAGCGCATGTTTAGCTCATCAGGCATTTGGCATCAGCGTTGGATTGTGTGTATCCATGTGTGCACACGGAGATAAGAAGTCAAGGCGTAATCCAGAATTCCTCTGCTTGATAGCTCCTTATCTCTGAGCATGTGCTGCCTGTGTTTTCTCTCTTGGTGGGTCCCCTCGGAGGTGCTGGCTGTATAAACAGTTGCTGGTATTAATGTTGAAGTTCTGGGAGGGTCCTGCTTTATTGGCTCCCGAAAGAGTTGGGGGGAAGCACCCAAAAGTGAGCTCCTGGCCAAGGACATGCAAACAAGCAAACCCTTTACAGCTTGTCAAGGAAATAGCTGGTACTGGCAAACAGGCATGTTTGAACTTTCTTTAGCATATTATTGACATTACAGCCTGCTCCACACAGCGCATTAACATTTTAATATTGGAGACTTTGACTTCTAATTGTCAGGTAGCATGTCAGGAAGGGTGTGCGGAAGGTAACTTGCAGCGCATGTATAGATGTTGGTATTCTGGTTTAGTATTTAGGTTGCATTTGGCAAGAAATGTTCTGTGTAAACTACTTAAAATCCCTTGAATTCCAGTGGATCAGACCACAAGCAAGAAGTGTTTTCCTAGGTGAAGCTGCGTAGCACAGGCTATGGGACTCGTGACATTTTGTTCATTGAAGGTGGCAGCTGCTGAAGTGATCCTGTGCAGCCTTTTGTTCAAGTGTGGATGGGCTGCATGAGAAGGGCACTCAAACTAAAGCAAATATATATATGTGTGTAAATAAAAAAATAAGTGCAGACTACTCAAAGTGTTAAATTTTGCAGCATGCTCCAAGTACCGCACTAATTAATAAAGAAGTTGTGTACATGAGTGGTGCTGAGGAATCTAGCGCGTCTCTCCCGGACCGCAGCGAGGGAGCTGTGTTGCTGTAAAACATTGCCTTGAGCGTACAAACCGTTTCAGGTACTCTAACTGGATTAGTGAGACCTCTTTACGTACACCCTGTTTTGAGATTTGAGGGAGAGTGTCGTGCTTAGCATCTGGGATTTCTCCAAGGTGACAGCTTCGCTTGAGGACAGAAAATATTATTTAGAAGCATAGCTAAAAATGAAGTTTTGTGTTGGCAGAGCGGGGATGAGTCATTGTGGTTTTGAGTCCAGGGGCAGGATCTTCCCTTCTCTGCGGTAGGTTTTTACTTCCAGATATGCTTGTAGAGCAGCAGGTTGAGGTGTTTGTCACTCTTGTCCCCGTTACAGAGAAAACAAGGTGGTGTTTGGGAGGTGTAACGCTCCGGATGGGTTTCCACCGTGGTAGTGAGCACACCCTCCCTGGCACCGCCGGCAGTTACATCTACAGCACTGGGGAGTTACTAATGAAGGACCAGCCGTGGCTCTCCCAATCCATCCCGTTACTTACACCAGCATCCTTTTGCAGAACGATGTGCTTTTTTTGTACCGATGCCTATTGGCATTAGCTGTGTTTCCCCTTTGCTCACCACACATGGCGTCTTTCTGTCGGCATCCAGCTGGGTCTCCCCCAGGAGAGGAGGAAGAACGTGGATGTTACCAACTGCATCCAGGCCAGGAGGTTTGAGATTGGCCTCCACGGTTCATGAAGGGTTTTTTTTATTGCGGGTTAGATGCCAAAGTAGACTGAAGAACCATGCGTATGTGAAAGCGTTCAATGTTCCTGTGCAGTTCTCATTGAAAAGAAAAAAAAAAAGAAAATTTTAAAACTGAAGTGCTGGTGAAGGGCGTTGAAGCTGTGCCAGGAATGTTCTTCAGTAGCACCCGTAATAGCTGTTGATTTGTAGGAGGCAGTCTGTAGCCATGCTGAAGGTGTTAGCCCTGTGGGAGGATTTACCTCTCTTGTGTTTACAGAAAGGGACGCTAATTTTTCATCCTCCTACCTGGTTGAGTTGCAGTCTTTTTTTTTTTTTTTCTTTTAAGAATGCCTGAACAGCACTGCTGAGAATCTGAAGACAGTTTCCTTCTAGGGGGAAAAAAATAAAAGTTTTGTATGGGAGTATAAGTTATTACAAATTCACAGAAAAAGGGCACTAATTATATTTTATTAAGGAGTTTGTCAGGAGACTTTGGGAAGAAGAAGAATGTTCGTTAGTTCAGCCTTCATTGTGTACTTGAGAATACAGAGAAAATGGTGAATTGTTTCTTGTGAACTTGTAAGGAATAAGGAACTAATCTGGTTTCAGGAATACTCAGATTGAAGTGTTATTTTGCAAAACCTCTGGATTATCGTTGGTATGTACAACTACAGGAATAATTTCAGAGACTTTATTGCAGAGGCTTGCCTGCAGATCAGCAGTTTTAAGTAACATTTATGTCAGTGTCTAAGGAAGAATACCAGCACGCCATCTCTTCTAAAGTGCTGGCTTTTGTGTTCCTGGTATAGCTTGAAACAAGAGGGGCACACGCTCCTGTTGTTCATAATCTGCTTGTTGTGGAAATCTGTGACTTTATAGCACGTCCCGTGCATCAGCAGCGCTGCGTGTAGCGGCGATGTGCCATGCCACGTCTTCTGGCACGGGTTTTGGCAGGCAGCTCTGGCAACAGCTCCAAGTAGCTCAGAAGAGAAGAAATACCTTGCAAGAAGTGGGGAAAAGAGGCAAATGCATTTGCATTTCTAGACACCATGCTTAAGGAAAAGCAGACAGATTTTGTTTGTGTCCAGAACTCTTGCGCATCTCTTCTGTAGCAACAAAATAGTGTGGTCTGGTTTCTTACTCAGCTCAGGCTGGAGCAGAGGAAAGGCAAGGTCACTAGGATTAGCAGATTGTCCAACTGTTTCAAAATCTTGAAGTGCTGGGCTTCAAGACTAGACTTAATCCCAAATAGCATTTCTTTTTTCTTTAGCTTGAATCAGTTCAAGCTACAAGTGGTTTTGCTGTGTAAATTCTTTCATAGCTGTCAACAATTAATAAATCTCATTTTTCTTGACCTCCCTGCCCCTTGCACCCACCCAAGGTGCCACCCTTTTGCATTGGGCTGGATGTTAACTTTCAGGTGTGAGAGCCTGGCCTTGGTCTGTCTGAGTGGTTTGGCTGCTTGTGGGTCCCAGAGGTCTGATGCAGTTTTGTAGTTTGAATTTCTTCCAAAAGTAGACCTTGTCAAACCAGAGTCCTGCAACTTTTGTCGTGTATGCTGTTTCTACGTTGACTTCTGTGAGACTGTTGTCCGTTAGTTGAGTTACTGTGTCATTTTGGAAAAAAACCTTGGACTTGAATGCATGTGGCTTGTGCTAAAAATGTAGCACAATGTATGCTTAAACAAAAGCAGAAAATATGGAATTTGATAGTTGTAGTGTCAGCGTTTTGCTGGTGGCAGTTGAATCAGAGTGCATTGTTCCTATGGAAATTGCAGTCATAGTTTCACAATTCATTTGTAAATCCCTACCAACAAAGAATGACTTGACTTTGACAATAGTAATGTATCTTACTTTGGCAAAGTCTATTTTTTTTGCTTAAATGTAATATTCTATTACTGTTACACTAACTCACATGATTCCTACTATTATTCTCCTTGCATCTTCCATTCTGGTATTTCATATGGGTGCGGAATACTCTTTGCTTCCTCTAATAACCCTCTCTACTGTTTTCTGGAGAGATCTGTCAAATTTATTGAGCTACAGTCATAAACTCTCAGTCTGCTGACTCCTGCACCTGGAGACAACTGTGTTCTGAATTGAGAATAGGCAGATGTTTGGTCGTCATACGGATATACCTGTACCTGTCTATAGATTGATATCAAATGACGTATTCCCTTTCCATGATGGGGGGATGCACCTTTTGTTATGTTTCTTGTAAGATTTTTAAATGAGTATTTGGAAGCTTTTTAGGTGTTTAACTTATAGGTAGGTGTTCTTATGCATTGAAGATGGTGAATTCTCTTGTTAATGAAGCTACTCTTCCAACCAAAAAAAAAAAAAAAAAAAAAATAAAAAAAAAACCCCCCTGCCATTAATCCTAAGAGCTCATAGATCTGTTGCAGTTGATAAACTCAGAGGCCATGAACTAATATTGTTCACTCTTCGTGGTGTTGTACATTTTTACAGAAGGCGTTTTATCTCCCAGCGCTGCTCTCTAGACTTTTTAGAAGACATAGTGGAATATGCCAGTGTACGAAGGTACTTTTTTTCAAAAGCAGCATTAATCTCAGCTTGTTGCATGCAGTCCTCTCCTCCCTCCACCCTCTTCCACGCCAATATCTGAGGTCCTGCATGCTAGTGCTGCCATCTAATCATACAACTGGCATGGCTGTTTCTCAGAGCACTTAAGAGGTTTTGGTTGTCTTTTTTTAATTGCAGAACCAAGCATATATCTGGGTCTCCAAGACACAAAAGTTTGAAGAAGATGCACTTCATCAAGAACATGAGGCAGTATGACACCAAGAACAGCAGGTAACTTCTGGAGATCAGAGTGCCTCCTGTACTTAGGTGAAATAGGATGTGCTCAGAAGTAGACTCTAGTTCAATGCAGTTATAGCCATTTAATATCAGTGGGAATGAGGTAATGTCCTTGGGGTCTTGTTAATTTTATACAGACTTTTATTGAAGGCAGTAGGTACTCACATCTGCTTCATCTACAGCAACATTCTGATGGTTCTGCCATCCTACTTTGAGGTTAAATCATTCTAACACCCTCCATATCTCTAGCACACAGAGAGGTCAGAGCTGAGAAGCATTTAAGGAGAATGGCTTGGTTTAGCCAAATTCTTGGCTTATAATTGCTGGGCAGAAGAGAAAGGGGAAGCTGTGTTCATATTTATTATTAATAGAGGTGTGAGACGTCACCTAAATGTAAAATATTATATACATCTTTTCACAAGGTTTATGTAAAAATTACATAAATAGATATTTAAAGACTAGGATCTCCTTTGTGGAGCTCCCAAGATGATCGCAGTTACTGAATGCTGGATTTTGATACAGAGCTTGGCTTTAAGAACCTACAGGGTCTTAAAAAACATCTGCTTTTGTGCTGCTCTCTGGAAACATAAAATCCATAGCAGTGCCTGTGACTTGCAGAGCAATATAAGAAGAGTCTTGTGTTCATGTTCCATAAAAAGCTGCTTTGTAGCTTCTGAATCTTAATTCATATCCTGATCTTTTCCCACTTGCTTACAGGATAGTGTTAATCTGTGCTAAAAGAACACTGTGTGTGGCTTTTTCTATCCTGCCTTACGGGGAGAGTTTACGGATCAGGTGAGTCATCTTTAACTGCTTTGTGAAATGTCTGGTCTACTGTTTGTAAAAGATCTTTTTAAATGGTATGAATGGTGTTGGTCTCCTGTTCTGAAGCAAGTGAACTTATTTAGCTTACCTTTTACATGTAAGGACAAGAGCTTGCTGTCAGAGCAGTCAAATCAGACATTGCCACACTGTCAAAGTGTTCATTCAAACTCCAAGAGAAAAATAATGGAAAAGGTAAACTTTTCTTCAGGTGTTTATTCACATCTTAAAGCACACCAGTCCTGTGAAATCCCTGAAACCAACTTTGAAGAGATGATGTGATTTGTTGCTGGGTAGGATTTCCTGTACTCCTGAAGTGCTCAGAAATCAACTGTCTCTAGTGCAACAAACAATGGTGTCAGCAAAAAAGCATACAGAGCATCAGGGAAGGATGCTGCTACCTTTACTGGAAACCTTCAAGGTTTTATAGTGAAGTTGCATCTAAATAAGTTTAAGATGCTATTCTGTTTTTCAGCTCTAAGCCATGAATGTGACTATTTGCAATCTAAAAAAACCAGAAACCGTTTAGACTGATTGAAACTGCTTTTAGTGTTTGTACTATGTTGTTGTATAGAGCTGTCAATATGATCACTTATGAGAAACAAAACCTGCTAACGGGATCTCCCTGCATCTTTGCTCAGTCCCTTGTGAAGTCCAAGTTGATTCTGTGATCTACAGATACACAACAGAAAATACTAATTTTATTCTAATCTACTTTTGGCAAAACAATTGTGTTGTCACTTCTGTCCTGTACATAACTTATGGACGAAGGAAACGGATGTTTAGTGGTGGGAATTGTATTGTATGCAAATACACTTGCCATGAAAATAGTTGATGGGAAAATATTCTCTCACTTCATGGAAAAGCAGCAAGGTCACTGGAGCTATTTTAGAGCAGTTCTGAGCACTGTGTCGTTCTGCTTGTAAACCGGCAATGCAATTCTCCAACTGAAAGGTGCTTTTTCGCATTGGAATATAGGTGACAAAGCTGCATGCTGCCATCGCTGAAGCAGAGTTCTGCTAGCAGACTTAAGTCTTAATTTGAGCTTGTGTGCACAGTGGTTGGAAAATTGCGGTTGAAAGGCAAGTTTCTAATCCTGGAAAACTAGTACTGTAAATCATGTTTGCTGATAAATGTTTGAGTATTAGTATGTTTACGGATGGTACGGTCTTAGGCAGAAAGACCATATTTTTAAAAGTTTACATTTGCGAGGCATATTGTTACAGGTTTGAGTTAAATAGATATGAAATCTGATTCTTCAGTTAATGAACATCTCTACATTTTGAAAAGAGTACTTGAAAATTAATGCTTTCTTGGAGTTGGAATTGAGGGGTCGCACTGTTCTCCCGTAGAACTCTGACCTAGTGGTGTTGGCCGTAGCTAGTGGATGGACCTGGTGTTTACTATAGAGGAAGCTGGGCTTGTGCTGCATTTTCCAATAGTGCATTTTCTTATCTGAATTTAGTGATCTAAAAATGGAGGGACAGAAGCAACGACATCCTTCTGGGGGAGTTTCAGTCTCCACTGAGATGGTCCTTGGACTGGAAGGAGTAGAGCTGGGTGCTGATGGCAAAGTAAGGAATTTTTTAAATTTTTTTTTTTTCAGTCTCTTGCTCTGTAACACCAGTGACTAAACCACTGACTGGAGTGGGGGTCAGCAGGTGGGTAAGCCGGCTGCTTTCACTCCAGGACCATTTCATGCTCGGGCAAATCACTTAATTTGTGCAGTGCTTTGCCATCCATAAAGTGAAAGCCGGAACTTTTCAGAGCAGTGGAAGTTTGTTTTGATCCTTAAAGTTTGAAATGTCTGGCTTGTTATAAAGCTTCTGAGGAGGCTGTTGAAGGCCATGATCGCTTCTGCCTCCGTTTCTGGAGAACTGATTTGACTCTGGTATCTCAGGCAACATGTGAGTGATGTTTTGATAGAAATATGGGTGAAATTTATACCTCTTTATTTAAGTTTATATACTGCCAGAATTTTACTGATGTGATTCTCCCCTTTTCTTTGCCACCCTGCTAAATCTTCTACAGCACTTCCATACTGAAGTTGTGGAAGCAAGGCGTTCTGCATCCAAATTTTCCTTTTCCGCCTGTCCCACAATTTCAAGGTCCCCACTCCCAAATGCAAACTCTAGAGGACTCGAGTTGGAAAATCCTAGAAATCTGGAAATAAGCTTTTCAATAAATTTTCCCCTATAACTACCACAACTTTCTCTTCTTTAAGGTTGTGTCCTATGCAAAATTCTTGTATCCAACCAATGCCCTAGTTGTTCGCAAAGCCGACAGCCATAGTGCTGTTCCCTCATGTCGAGCTAGTGCTTCACGGAGTCTTCCTGGATCGAGATACAAACCTGTGACAGCAAAAACGATACCGGCAGGAACAGACATTGGTAAGGACAACCACCAGCTTTGTAACTTGTGCACACAGCAGAGAAGCATAAAAGGAATATATTTGTCTGAAACAATTGCAAGTGGTAAAGTGCGTTATTAGGAAGGATGTGCTGCAGCTGGAAGGAGACTGTTTTTAGCACCGCCTAGTAAAGAAGGCTCATTAATGAAGTATAAATGATGAGCCTTAGGACTGAGATTTGCACACATTCCTTACATCCTCTGTATATCTGGCCTAGTTCTGTTCATGCAATTCAAGGGGCGCAAAGTTTTTCCTTGGAAATGTGAAGTTTCATGTTGCTCAACAAAAAACATCTGGTGTACGTGGATGCAGGATATAGGTGGTCCTCCTTGCCTTCTCACACAGTAACAATGCATAAGCCACAGCATTTGTGACAAGAATCCCTTCTCTTGTGTAAAAGAGCAAACCCGACAACTCTGCTGTCTGTTAGAGTATAGGCAAAAGAATTCAGTCTTGTGCAGTTGTTTTCTGTGCATATTTGTGGATGACAAACTTAGTTTGCACTAAGTCTAAAATAGTGCGTCAGGCACGTGCTGGAGAAAGAGCTTGTGTTTTTTTTTAATAATTTAATACCCAACTAGTGCATTTGTGAAACGCAAACATGTGACACCAGCTGCAGTTTGCCCGTACTATGGGATCTGCAGACACTCTTAATGTTTGCTGTTTGAAAACTTTTTTCAAAGAGGAAACAGGGAATATAAAGCTCTGTATCTTGTGACCCAGTGTGCTTTCCTTGTTCCCTCAGGAAGTGAAGCTGGGGAAGCCGCAGAGTATGATCCAAATCTTCTGGATGATCCTCAGTGGCCCTGTGGAAAACATAAACGTGTTCTCATCTTTGCCTCTTACATGGTGAGTGACTGGCATACCTGAACAGAAGAGAGTGAGTGCCTGGAAGATCCTCCTATAAAGAACTTGCTCTAGGAAGAAGTAGTTGTGGCTGTTTGAGAAGTGATTAGGAAAAATACAAATAGTTGAGTTTGTACACTCAGCTTGTCAAGGACCAACCTGACATGTATCTCCATGTTGTCATTTGCTTCTTGTAACCATTTGCTTACTAGTTTTTTAAGACTTTGTCTGTAGTTGAGATTCAACGCATTCTATTACTTAGGACGTTACAGAAATGTTAAATTGTGAATAATAAAAATTGTGTTTGCCTTTGCATTAGTGTCTTTGGAAGACTTGTTTGGCTGTCAGTACTGTTCACAAGAGAAATGATAAATTTTGCCTCTTGTGTTTCAGACTACAGTCATAGAATATGTGAAACCGTCGGACCTTAAAAAAGATATGAATGAAACCTTTAGAGAGAAGTTTCCTCATATCAAGTTGACACTGAGCAAAATTAGGAGGTAAGAAACAAGCACTGAATAATGAGAACATCTTCTACACTGTCCAAGGCTGCTTTTATCTTCGACTTGTACAGGGCAAATACTAGATCTATTAATAGTATATATGATTAAACACTAATCTCTTGTTGCCAGTTGAGCTGTGACTGTAGGATGAGAAAGGTTAACAGTTGGTTCTCATAGTTCCACCTAAAAGGGCTTTGTTTCACCAACTGCGGTGTACTAACACAAATCACCAATTAATAGTGAAGCAGCATTAGCCTTGAAACAAATACTTACAACCTGATTGTTTGGTTGTAGTGCAGTCCCATTCTAACTGGGTTGTCTTTCTGGACCCTCTGGCTATTTTTGCCTTTCAATTACGAGCCTCACTGATGATCATGGACTCGTAACAAGATTCTAGGATAAAGAGTGTTAGGTCTGGGGAGTCTTGGTAAAGAAAAACATTTCATGAAGGCAGGACTATGCCACACAGAAGAATTCCTCATCTTCTAGGAAATGCGTCTGGCCACTCATCAGAGAGATGCACTGTTGCGCCTTCAAAGAGCTGTAATCTTGCTGGTATTACCCAGCGGTTAATGCAGTCAGGGCCTTCTGAAATAGCCAGCTTAAACACGATTCTGCTGAATCACCAGGGCTGTGTGTAACTCTGCTCCAAGTGCAAGGCTTGCTCAGGCAGAGTCTGTGTACTGCCAGTGTCCTACATGCTCCTCCTTGTAGCTGTTCACACAGAAATCTTCTTGCAGGTGTAGCGTGGGTGTCAGGCAGGGGAGGTAGCATCCACATTAAAGTCTGCCTTAACAGCTAGCCCTTCACTTCAGCATTGTGGAAGTCTGTAAACAAGTCTGCCTTCCCCCTCAGACCTGGTTCTTCCATGAGGTGTGTATTAGACAGGTCTCTGTGCAGCAGCTGCTGTGATCTGCACGGCTTTGATGTGGTGTTCTGTAGGTCAGGGTGGTTCAGTGTTACGATATGAATCACGAACCAGTTTGGGAGCCCAGAGGGAGTCACGCAGCAATAGCCTGTGTGTCAGTGAGGAGGCTAAGCCCCTGATGTTTATGGGCAGATAAGGAACTGTTCTTCCACAGTAGATGGTGTCAGCCAGGTTAAATCAGTTTGTGCATCAGCTCCAGCTTGCTGCCAGCTGGGCTTCTCCAGTCTAGGATAATACTCATCATGGTTTTCCAAATTGGAGTCTTGTCCATATGCTCTTCTGAGTTCCCATGCTACAGTGTTTCTGGAGCATTTCATAAAAGCTGTTGTGTTTTAAGAGGGTGTCTTTTTTTTTTTTTTTTATCCTGTTCCCAGTTTAAAGAGAGAGATGCGGAACCTGAGTGAAGAGTGCAATCTGGAGCCGGTTACTGTCTCCATGGCTTATGTTTACTTTGAGAAGCTCGTCCTCCAAGGCAAACTCAACAAACAGAACCGCAAACTGTGTGCTGGTGCTTGCGTTCTGCTTGCAGCCAAGATCAGCAGTGATCTCAGGAAACATGAAGTTAAACACCTTATAGACGTAAGTACTATGAGACTTGTTTCACGTGTCATCAAAACCTTCTCTCTAGCTTGTAGAACAAGACAAAGGTTAAAGCCAAGACTTTTCAGCAGTGCACACTTGCATATAAGACCAGCTCTTTCAGTCAGTTTTATGTCTTATCTTCCTTGATGTTCTTTGGGGTTTTTTTAATTCATTAAAACTACCTGACTGGTACGGTCTAATGTCCTACTGATCCTACAGTGAGGTTATTTTTGCACTTACTGTTTCTCAGGCAAACATGTAACTGTTGTGTGGGTGTCACAGCTGAGCTGATAAGCTGGTTTACTTGTCTGATCCTTGGCAACACTTTTGATTCTGTAGGTGCAGCTCTGGCCATGCATCACTGTCTCCTGTTTTATGCTGACTTAATCTAACAGTGTGTTGATATCTTGTGACTTAACTGGTTCTTTCCCCCTCTCTTTTTTTTTGTTACTATCATAGAAACTAGAGGAGAGATTCAGATTCAACAGAAGAGATCTCATTGGTTTTGAATTCACCGTCCTTGTAGCTTTGGAACTGGCTCTCTATCTTCCTGAAAACCAAGTTTTACCTCATTACAGACGGCTCACACAACAGTCTTAACCAAAGCTATGTCCCAGCTGACAGCCAGTGGCGCTGGGGATTGCATCGCGGAACGCTGCTGGTGAAGTTGCCACTGGCGTTTCTGTGCCGCTGTGGGCATCCTGCCATGGCTACAGCTAGTTTTGAAGTCTGCAGTTGTTTCTAAACTGTCGAGGTGTGCATTATGGACATGTACGCCAAGTCTGGGGGATGGGACAAGAAGAGTTACTGAACTTTATTTTCTTTTGGACATTTAAAGCACAAATATTCACCAGTCAGCTGTCATGGCTGCTTATTATGCTTTATTTATCTTTTCGGTTTTACTAAGACTGTTCTTCCCTATGAAGAATACTATGGTATTGTTTCTTTTTTTTTTTTAAGCTTTTGTTGTATTCCTTGAAACTAAAGGAAGCATCACTTCCATTCCAGTGCACCATAAAGTTCAGATGTTTCTAAGAATCTTCTCACATTTTTACATTAATGAAATGCTTACTTTATTTTTTTAAAGATGTGCCTAAAACTGGCTGGTCTGGTACCAGTACTTTTTAAGTTGTTACGTTATTTAGTGGGGAATCCTGAATTTGTATAGCCATTTATTCTTTACCTGCATTGGCCTTGCATATAAGGAAAACAATTCCAGTATATCTGCACTAATGATACACAGGGCATCTAGTCTATACTATAGATCTGTCAGTAGCAAGATTGAAATTACTCCGTTCCAATTTAGTTAACTATTAATACCTTAAGAATATACATTCTATTTAAAGAGGAAAGATTGTTTGAAAATCTGTGATGAAATACCATGTGTTGAACAAGGTAGCTGCAGCAAAACGATAACCGTCCTTATTCACTCTTCAGTGAAAGATGAGCCCTTGACTAAGAGCAATTTACTGTCAAACGTATCATTTACCATTTTTGTTTCAGTGTTCTGCAGTCTGAAATAAGCACCTTTTTTAGTGTGACTGTATTACATATGGTCTTCTGTGCTCTGAGCACATGCTTAAGTCAGTAGAGCTACTGCTGCCAAACTAAGCCAATGAAACAAAGCATGCTTAATATTTAAAATGCTACTTTTTTTACTCCGTTCTTCCAAGCATTGCATCACTGTGATGGTCCTCATAAAACTGGCATTTGTTGCACATCTGAACAGCCACTTAACGGCTGGTGCCCAGCAGCGCTCTGATGCTTACGCAGAGGTTAAACAACTTCTCTGACCATTGGCTCTTCCTTCATTTACTTTTAAAATACCTGGGTTGGGAATGAACTCTGAATATATGTGGAACCTTCTGTGATATTGGCTCTTGGGTTTATTTTCTGAAGCAATATTATGATACAAGTAACTGTCCATTTGCAAGGAACAATACTGATGCTTGGCTATTATGATTGAAAAATTTGTAATTTACGTTTGGCTCCTAAATGAAATATAGACCTTGTACTGAGGTAAGGGACCTGCTATCTAATATGTAAAGTAATGTAAATTCCTGTTCCTTGTATTAAATGTTGGTTGTAGGCAAAACCAAAGCTGAGTCTTTGCGCTTCAGCTGTGTTTTGTCTGAAGCTAATTTGGCTTCATTAGAATTGCAGCAAACTTTACTGGAGCCCCTTCCTCTTTAAGTAGGGCTGAAAATGTATTTTTCGTATATAATAATTACAGTGACTATCAAATCTTTTGTAACTGTGTTCAGCTGTATGTAGCTTGAAGTTATTTGTGTAAAATTTAATATGCTTGTGACTTCTCTCTAACACAGAAGGACTTTCCAGTCTCCGTAAGTGAGATGGTAGCTAGTAAGTTAGACAATAAGCTTGCCAGTTATCTTCCAAAAGGTTTAAAAAATTGCCTACTAGTTAAACTTTCTACTGAATATAACTGTCCTTGCATGCAAGAAATAGTGATGTACTAAACATCTAGTGTATAACAAACCTACAAATTAGCAAACGGTGAAGACAACTAAAGTGGTTCACCACTTCTTAAAAGTGATTAGGGGAAGGGACAGAGGTAGAACTGAGCAAAGAAATTTCTTACACGGTATCTCCAGAACTAGTATAAATGAAATCAGAAAATGTCTTTCTCTGGGAACTTGTTTAGTGTATAAAGAGTTTTCTGTAGCAAAATGAACTTTCCTTCTCACTAAGGGGAAAAAAATGCACTTTGGTTTGCAACACTGCAGTCTCTATTCAGTGGAAGTTTGTCTAGTTGCAATGGGCATTTGGGCTGGAGTTGCACTCCCAGAAGCTGTGGTTTCTCATCATAAACCAGCAAGCTTTTATTTTCTCTTTCAGAAGAACAAATTAGGATAAGAAGCATTAAATTACAAAATGCTGAATGTTGTCTAAAGGTTACTGTAAACGTTGGCTTGGGCACACGCAGTGTTCTTGAGCTCAAAAGCTGTTTGGAGCACAGGCCAAAAATGACACCGTGGAGCAAACGCTGTGCCGATGTCTCTGGTAGAGCGTGAGTTTGGGGCCGACGCCGTCCGGAGGTGCAGTCTGCGGCTTGTACCTCGGTACCTCGGTTGTGGTGTCTGTGCAGAACCAGCCCTTCTGCAGAGATACGGTAACTCGTGTCTGCTTATATCTTGGTTTTTCAATTTCTAGAGTGTAGCTTGCAGTCCTGTGTGGGAATATTTATCTTTTCACCTAAAAGCTGCCACCATGTGGCAAAGGACTATTACTACGTTATCCATTAAAAAACTGAAAGTGGGACCCAAAATACTACTTGGATCTACCGGCTTTACGTTTTCACAGCCCAACTCCTCTTGCTTTGAAGAGAAACGCTGGTTTACGCCGAGGGGAGGTCTAGTGCTGTGTACCGCGTAACGATGCTGCTGGCTTCACTCAGCACGGAGAGCTCTCTTGATAAGAGGCTGTACATTTTTATGTAAACAATACTGTTTATGTTTTTGTCTTACTCCATTATTTAAAAGTCTGAGTTGTAGCCTGTTCTGTATTTTTTTTTCTCCCCCATGACCTTGTGAAATTAAGACGCTGTGAAATAAAAACTGGTTTGGTACACGTTTTGTAACCTAACGTCTTGTTTCAGAACGGTCTTTCGGTTTCCGGGGGCGGTCAGTTCCCCTCCGCTTCCCGGCGCCGTCACCCTCACTCAACGAACGGCGG